GAGCTCCAGGCAGGAAGGCAGCCACACAGGGCTTGAGGAGACCATCCCTTCCCCGTGTCTCCCCCAGCCTGAGAGAGTTCTACTCTGTTCGTCCTCACTCTTCTTGCCTTAAAGATGTGGCACAAATTCTATGTGTACACCCCAAAGAATTGAACACAAGGACTCAGGTATTTGTACACCTGAGTTCATAGCAGCACTATTCACAATAGCCAAAGGTGGAAACAATCCAACAGTCCATTGAAGGATGAATGAATGAACACAATGCGATATATACATAGAGTTTATTATTGTAATACAATGCCTTGTCCAGCCATAAAAGGACATGGAATTCTGATACACGTCACAACGCGGACGAACCTTGAAAGCTTTATGCTAAGTGAACTAATCAAGTCTCAGAAGGACAAATGCCGTATGATTCCACTTCTACAAAGGGCCCGGAATAGACAGATTCGTAGAGACGGAGGGTAGAGCAGCGGTCGCCAGGGCTTGGAGGCGGGGGAATGGAGAGTGAGTGTTTAATGGGCACAGAATTTCTGGTCAGGTTGATGAAAAAGTTCTAGAGTGACGATTCATAACATTGTGAATGTGCTTAAAACACTGAATCGTATACTCAAAAATGGTTGGAATGGAAGTTTTATGTTATATATATTTTACCACTATAAAAAAACTGGGGCCTACATGCCTGGCTGAGCTTGCAGGCTGGGGGCATGCAGGTGGGGGGCAGAGGAGGGGGCTGCTTCTCCCTCTCCTCCTCCTCCTCATTATTCTCTGTACATGAGGTAGAGCTCGGGCCTTTCTGCTCTGAATGTTCCCTGAGCCCCTGAAGGAGGGGGCTCTCAGCTCCCTGCCCGGGACGCATTCTGGAACACAGAAGTAATGTATCTGCCTGGTTCCCCCGGGAAGACAGTTTCCCAGGAGCTGGAATCGCTAGGAGAGAGTGAAGGGGGCCAGGCCAGTGAGGGGTGCTATGATCTGGTCATCGCTGTGGGCACCTGGGCTGCTGAGGGACTCTGTGGAATGTGCCTCAGAATTGTCTGAGACACGCAGAGGGGAGTGTTTGTGCCATCACGGGTGGCCGCATGGGGTGCTGGCACCTCACACTTCCAGGTTTCAGGCACCAGGGCCAGGTGGGTTCCTGCAGGCCCCTTGTGACCTGTGTCAGAGGAGGCCCGGGCAGGAGGCATGCAGGGCAGCTGAGGGGAGGCACTGTTGGGCTACCCCGCGTGAATCTGATCGGGCAGCAATGCCCAGACGGAGTACAAGGGGCCCAAGAGGACATGGGGACACAAGTGGCTTCTGTTGGGGGAAGCCTCTTCCTCTGGGCACCAAAATGCTGCAGGGTTGGGATGGGTGTCAATGCCTGTCCCTTTCCTCTGTGAGCCAGCGTGGGTTTGGGGTAACTGCAGGACCCAGGCCCCCCGCAGGGCTATGGCACATCCCTATGAGACTCTGCATGCCTGAGAGAGCCCAGCGGGGCAGCCCGGAGGCTCCTGGGGCTGGCAGAGCCTGGCGCGCCATCCTCCTGGAAAGGGCTCCGTGTGGCGCTCCTGCAAAGCCAGGTCCTCTGACTGTACCTGTCAGGTGTGCCAGGAAGCCCTTGATAAGATCTGAGGGCTTCGAGGAATAATGGGCGCGGCCTTAGGCACTGACTTGTCCTGCAGGCAGCTCCTTTTCAGCCTTCTCTGGACATCAGCCTTGTCATTCCCACCCAGCTGAGGCCACCTGCCCAGGGCTGGGCACTGTGCCTGCATAGGGCCCAGCCCTGCAGAGCCTGTTCCCAGTGGGGAGTAAGAAACACACACACACACACACACACACACACACATGCGTGCACACAGAGCACTTGAAGAATCCACTGCTCATTAGCGGGGCAGTGGGGGATCTGGGAGATGTCCTGAGGGCCTGAGCAGGCTGCCAAGAGGTGGGGGGAGAAGAGGCAGGGGGTGTAGGTGGAGTTCTGCAGACCCGGAGCTCTGCTGTGTGAACCTGGACAAGTTACTCAACCTCTCTGAACTTCAGTTTTCTCTACTGAGTAGTATAATTATACGGATTTCATAGGGTTACTGTGAGGGTGAAGCGGGTGAAGGCATGTCCGTGCTGAGAAGAGCGCGTGGCACATGACATGGGCCCAGTAGACATTGGCCATTCCTGTTACTAGTAGAAGTTGCTATATTCACGCCCATCGCCAAGGCTGGGTAGATCCCTTGCCCGTAACCAGCCATTAAACCAGAGTATTGGGCTAACCGTCAGATGGCCTCTAGGCACCGTGCCATGTCCCCTGAGCATAAGGACCTCTAGATTTGGAAGGTGGAGGAAAGGACAAAGTGCATCCGGGTGACGGTGCAGTGTGAGCAAAAGCAGAGAGGCAGGAGAGAGCATCCTGCGCTCGTTTTCTCTTGCTGTGTAACAAATGACAGCAAACTCAGTGGCTTCAGACAATACCACTTACTACCTCACGGTGCTGTAAGTCAGAGGTCGGGCGCAGTGTGTCACAAGGCTGAAATCAAGGTGTTGGCCAGGCCGAATCCTTGGCTGGAAGCTCTGAGCGAAAAATCTCCTTCCAGGCTCATTGTTTCTCTGCAGAATTCACTTCCGTGTGGTCGTAGACTGAGGTGCCACTTCCTCGCTGGTTGTTGACAGAGGACTGCTCTCAGCTGCTAGAGGCCACCCGCCTGCCTGGCCACGTGGCCCTCCTCCTTCAAGCCGGCAACAGTGCACCGCGTCTTTCCCGTCCTTTGGATCTCTGGCCTCTTCCACTGTCTCTGACCTCTAGTCCCAAATGTGAAGGGCTCATGAACTTGGATCAGGCCCTCCTGAATAGTCTCTCTGTCTTAAGGCCACTGATTTGGAATTTAATTACACTTGCAAAATCCCTTCCCAGGAGTACCCAGATTCATGTTTGAGTAACTGGGAGAAGGTGCACACCCAGGACCGTCTTGGAATTCTGCCTGCCACACCTGGCAGGTGCCTGGGATGAGGGGCAGAGTAGCGAGGGGCAGGAGGAGGGCCCGGGCTTAGGCATGGGTGCCATTGGAGCAGGAAGGCTAAGGTGGGTGCCGATGGTGAGAGGTGTGTGAGGCCCTGTAGGCCTTGAAAGGCAGGTGGGGGAAGAGGCACTGGGCATCCGCCAGGCCACCCCTGCCTGTGGTCCTGTTCCACTAGATGCGCTTATCCCAATCCGGCCTGACTCCTTGCAGACCTGCTGCCATCTTGGCCTCTGCAGCTGGGTTCCTTCATTCTGATGAGGGCAACGCCTCCATCTGAAACCTCCAGTCCTCTGACTCCTCCCTCTAGGGTGGGTGGACAGACCCCCCAGCCCCAAGGCCGCTGAGCTCAGGAGCCCAAAGCAAGTCCACGTAGCACCTCAGAGCTACCCTGCAGCCGGCCTGGGCTCCAAGGGAGGCCTGGCCCCTTGCAGCAGCCAGAAGCCAAAAAATGAGTCAGGAAACCAGTTGAAGATGCATGTCCACCAGGACAGTTCGTCAGCTGGACAGTTCTTCCTCCTCGGTCCATCACCCTCTGAGACGGCCGACGAGGGCGTGGGCAGTCAACATTCATGGTCTCAGAGGCATTTCTGGAACCCAGCAGGCCCTTCCTTGCCCTGCCTTGGATCCATTACAACTAAACACTCAACTAACCCTGGATTATTGGCAAATAGCTGTGTTCCAGAAAAGTTCTCAGTAACCCAAAGTTTTGAAATTTAAATGCTCTGTTAAACACACTAGGACCTTATTATTGACAGTGGCGGTCATGCAGCCCTGTGGTTTCGGAGCCCTGTGCGTGCGTTATTCGGGTCTTCTTTGGGATTTCGCAGGGTGGAGGTTTGGGGGAAGACTGTTCTGCTAGTGGTGATGATGAACCCACCTGCAGGCTGTTTCCTCCGGCTGAGCGGGGTCTTCCACGGAGGTCACAGGTCTCCAGATAGTAAAAGAGACACGAGGCAAGCTTTAAAGCTCCTTCCCGTCTGGCCTCAAGCCCATTAGCGGAAGGGTAGGGTCCCTGGCCTAGAGGTGAGAAAGGTTCTAGCTGTCTCACTGCCAGGTGGGTTGGGTGTGACCTGCGGGGATAAGGAGGTGGGAGGGGGCGGTGAGGGTGTCCCAGTAGGCTTAGGCCCATGCAGGGCTGGGTTCACCCAGTCTGGTCAGGAGGGACCACAGTTCTGTTGGTGGACTTTAGCCAGCGTCCCAGGAATAGCTGGGCACATACGCCACGCCACCCTGAGACAGAGCCAGAGGGCTGATGGGGGTAGTTGTGCTGCTATGGGGGTGGCCAGGTGGTGTCCGAGGGTAGGCCATGCCCACACAGACAACCCGCCAGGACTTTCTTGTTCTATTAGTAAACACCAGTCACGTTCCTACAGACCGAACATGGCGTGTGCTCCAGGGGCTGTACCGTCGCCAGGCAGCAAACTCATGCTTATAACTTCAGGCCCACAGGCTGCAACTAATTTAGGGCACAGTCTGGTGACCAAAGAGGAGAAAAAGTGTTTTTTAGAAGGGGGCATTTTCTTGGAGGGCCCAGGCCCTATAGAGGGTTTGTGTCTGGGGACACCCTTGTACATTCTAATTCTTGGGTCAGGCATGCCGCAGTCTGTGGTCTATTTTATTCTGCTTTGTCGCAATTCTGTTAAATCCAAGTTGGGAAATGAGCTTGGGTGGTAGGCTGGGTTTATCTTCTGCGTTATCTTCTGCGTTTCCTAGGTGTTTAAGGCCTTGGTGTATACTAACTCTGACATTGCACAAGTTACCATGCTGGCCCATGAGGCATGTGACTTGCCTTCTCTGGGCCTCAGTTTCCCTCCCCACACAGTGGGAATTACAGAAAATCCTTTAGGCTAAAGGCAAGCCAGCACCCCACTGACTTCCCAGGGTTGTCGGGAGACCAACATGCTGTGATGGATGAGAAAACGTTCCCGGCAGTGGACAGTATTTTCCAAGGGGGGGACTTGTCTTGGCCTCCAGCGGTGTCTCACAGAGTCTGTCTGTCCTCTTTCCCACCAGCCCCGGCCCAGGCCCCTGAGCTGGAGGGATGGAAAACTCCTCGGCAGCATCAGCCTCCTCTGAGGCTGGGAGCAGCCGCTCCCAGGAGATCGAGGAGCTGGAGCGCTTCATCGACAGCTACGTGCTGGAGTACCAGGTGCAGGGGCTGCTGGCCGACAAGACAGAGGGCGACGGCGAGAGCGAGAGGACCCAGTCCCACATCTCCCAGGTGAGCACTGGCCTCGGCAGACTCAGAGGGCGTGACACGGGGGATCCTGATTCTGGCAGGATGTGGTCACCTGGCCCTCGACTGCCAAGGCGTGGGTGGTCCCGCCCAGCAGAGCACCCAGAATCCTGCAGGTGAGGCTTTGGGGTACCGGCAGGAAGCCTCAGCGGCGCACACGACCCCTCTGACCCATCTGCACTGCTTCCTATCCGTGGGGCCGCTGGGGCAACAGCCAGGCTCATGGGTCTTTGAACACATCCTCTGAGCACCTACGCCGTGCCAGGCACTGTTCCCTGTCCTCAGTAAGCTTATGTTCTACAAGAGATCTGGAAATTGTAGCTCATCCATCATGCACACCATCAAAGGGCTATAACTTGTGAATATTTTCTCTGATTTCAAATATAGGTAGTTGTTGGCAGCCAAAGAAATGAGTCTCTTGTGCTGCCTCCCCAGGGCTCCGTATGCCAGATGCCCTTAGATGTGTTAGTCATCCGACCAGACCTCGGTTTGGACTCACCCCCTCCTGGGCCAGCCTGCGGCGGCTCTGACCTTAGATGGGACGGGGACTCAGCTGAAAGACGTGGATTGGGCTTTGGAAGTCTCAAGTTCTCCCAAATACTTCAAAGTATGAATGCATTAAGGGCAGGACCCTATCGCACGTTCCTTTGCCTAACACCATAAATCCTCAATAGATATTTGTTCAAGAGTTGGTTCTGGATTTGCTTCTAGCTACCCATGTGACCTTGGCAGAGTCCTCAATGTCTCTGGGGCTTAGTTTCTTTGTCTGGCACAGGGGGATTATCCTGCTGCCTTGGGAATGTCGGGAGAGACAGTCAGAGGTACGAAAGCACAGAGGATGGGGTGCTGTCTGCACAAGGAGAGTCTCCTCTCTTGTCTGGGGCGAGGGTCCTGGGTGTCCACCTCTTGTACTTGTTGTCCCACCTCAAGCCTGGGACTCCTATGACAAGTAGAGGGTGAGCTACTCGAGTGCACCCTGCTTTGGAGAAAAGCCAAATGCAACCACCTGGCTCGCTCTCTGGGTAGAGAGAAAACCCGGGTCTAGCTTTTTAGAAAGCCACAAAGAAACTGTGGTCTTCCTATAACTCAGACGGGAAGTCACCCTGGGGAATGCTGAAGCCACAATGATCCCATGCCCTGTCCCCATTGGAGAGCAGGGGGCAGAACATAGCCCTGAGGGAGGAGTAGAAACAGCTGTGATGCTTTCCCTAGTGTCCTTGAAGTTCGAAGATCGCAAGTGTATGACCTGTAATTTGTTCATCATTCAGCCTGCGAGTGTTTATCGAGCCCGTCCCCTGGGCCAGCGCTGTTCCAGAGCGAGTGTCCAGGAGTGAGTGAAGCTGACAACACGCTCTGCCCTCATGGGACTTACATTCTAGTAGTGGGTGATCCTTGCAATGGAGAAAAATAAAGCAAGAAAATGGAAGGGGCGAGGAGTGAGGAGGAGCAGGAGGGACTTGCAATTTTAAGTATATTAGGCAGGGAAGATGTCACAGAAGGAGGGGCAGGGAGAGCCGGGCAGGAGCATCAGGCCGAGGGAGTGGCCTGTGCATAGGGCTGGGCTGAAAGAGAAGTCAAGGCGCAGCAAGGGGGCCGGGGTGCTGCGGCAGGGGACGAGGGGCTAGAGCTAGTGAGACAGGGAGAGTGGGACCCTGGGGATGGGAGGTGCGAGGGCTGGGGCCTGGGGTTGCCCCATGTTAGAAAGGAGGGGTGTGAGGAGGAGCCAGCCAGAGGGAGCACTGGGGCTGGAGGACGGCCAGGCCAGTGGAGTGCTGAAGGCAGGGGGGTGGGAGTGGGGAGGGGAGGGTTTCAAGGAAGCCAGAGGGGGGACTGTCTGGGGTGCTGCTGCCAGGCCATGCCGGAGGGCCTGAGAATGGCCAAGCATTGGAGAGCATGACGGGGGTGTTCCCGTTGAGTAGTGGGGGTGAAAGTCTGGCTGAGGTTGGCTCAAGGGAGAGCAGAGGAGACGGATGGGAGACAAGGAGTATGGCACGACTGACGGCCTTGAGGAGCTCAGCTGTGAAGGGCAGAGATGTGGTGGCATTTGGGAACACACAGGAGCAACGTGTATGCGTGTTGTCGGGAGCAGTGGGGCAGGAGGAGGGATACTGGAGGCCTGGCCTGTCCCCAGCCCCCAGGGTCATCCACAGGGATGGGAGGGGGCTGCGGGGCGTGCAGCCTTGCGTTGAAAATGACACCTGCAGCTTTGCTGAGGGTTCTTCTCCAGCTACTTTCAGCCATGAGGGGGCAGGTGCAGAGCTATGAAGACGACTTCAGCCAGGATCGAAGTTTCCCCAGGGAGTACGATGGAGGGAGAGGGGAGGGAGAGGAGGGAGTGGCGGTGCTGGTATAGCCTGGAAGCCGAGCCAGGTGAGGAGGGGAATGGGCACAGGGTGGGTGGTGGATGCTGAAGCTGGAAGGGTCAGCAGATTGGAGGGCTGGTGACCCCAAGAACTGTTGGAGCCCTGGAATCGGAGGGCCTGAGCTAGAAGACGGGGGTATCCCAGAGTGGGTGGCCAGGGAATGGCTGGGTAGGAGCGTGGGAATGCACAGGGGACAGGGCAGACCAGGAGGAGGGCTGGTCATGGGTCTCAAACTTGCCAAGAAAGGACAAAAGTGTGTTGGAGAGGGTGGCTGTGATCCAGGAGAGGAGTCCTCGAGGAGTGTAGAGGGGTGGCAGCATCGTGGTCTACGACCAACTGCAAGGAGGGTGCCAGGGGTCTCATCTGACCGCGCGTTAATTTATTTTTATTTTATTTATTTATTTTTTTTGAGACAGAGTCTCACTCTTTTTGCCCGGGCTAGAGTGCCGTGGCATCAGCCTAGCTCACAGCAACCTCAAACTCCTGGGCTCAAGCAATCCTCGTGCCTCAGCCTCCCGAGCAGCTGGGACTACAGGCATGCGCCACCATGCCTGGCTAATTTTTTCTATATATTTTTAGTTGTCCGATTAATTTCTTTCTATTTTTAGTAGAGACGGGGTCTCGCTCTTGCTCAGGCTGGTTTCGAACTCCTGAGCTGAAATGATCCGCCCGCCTTGGCCTCCCAGAGTGCTAGGATTACAGACGTGAGCCACCGCGCCCGGCCACGTTAATTTATTTTTGTAACTTCTTTTCTTGGTTTAAACTGTCCTTATTGTACAGTTAACAATATCATGACCTGGAGTGGATTGGAGTATCATGATCAGGATGGATTGGAAAATTCCGAGGGAAATTAGCCTCTTTGGGTTGTCTAGGGCAGGAACTAGGTGACGCAACTCTTGCATCCGAGAGCTGAGTTCCCCGGGAGCAGGCACCGTGGACAGGCGCGTGGGCTGGCCTGGCGCTCTCTGGCGTGTGCTGCCTGCCTCCCCCACCGTGTGGAACCCGGAACTCTGGTGGGGAATCCTCCAAAGTTCCTTGAGCTAAAATACACTTTTGCAGGAGGAGGGGCCAAAGAAGCCGTGAAGCTTCACCCCAGAGGCGTGCTTTGCTGATGGTGGAATTTCTGTGCCCAGAGCAGCCATCTGGGAGATAGTTTTGGAAAGAGGGGCCCTCCTAGTGCCTCTGATCTCCCGGCGATGACTGATGACTGAGCTCTTGGGAGGGAGGGCAGGTGGTGGAGTGCCCTCCTCGGTCTGGGCCCTGTGCTTCCGGCTCCTGCTGCTGGGATCACTTGGGCCTGACTCCCACTTGGACGCCCACATCTGGCTGGCAGGGAGGCAAGACCGAGGAGGGGCTTCTAAACAGATGTCTGCTGTGAGGCAGAGTGTGGAGACCACCACCACTCGTGACATTGGATGCATTCTTTAAACTTTCCCCATGCTCTGCAGTTCCCTTGAAGAATGTGAACACCTGGCAGGATTCTGGGACCCGCCCGGAAAGGAGGGACATTTCAATCCTGCTCCTACCGAACCCCTGCCTCCCCTCCCCCCGCACCCACAAACACACCTGGGGTAGACTCCAGAGCAGGGGACAGCTGTGGCCAGCTCAGAGCAAGACCAGAGTCAGACTCGTCTCCATGAGACACTTCTTTAAAAAACACCGGTGTCTATTGATACAGCTTTATGGGAAATATTTCTGCTAAAGCACTTTCGCTTGTTTTTACTTAACCTGATGACTATTTTAAATGGAAGCCAAAAAAAAAAAAGGAAAAACCCACAAAACCAAACACTCAGAGAATGTGCCTGTCTGCCTGTCTGTGGTGATGTTTTGATGCTTCTGGGAAGGAAAAATTGTTAAGAATCTTGGAAACCTTGAGAAACTTGAGGAAAGGGGAGAACACTGTTGCTCTTCAGACGGTGAGGTCACTTTTTAGGATCTGAGAGGTGACAGTTGACACTCAGGAAGAAAATATCTCATGATGCTTCTACCGTTATGTCCCACCCCATCCCTCCCTCAGTAACAACTGGAAAGAAAACATGGGTGGATAGATCGATAGATCTTCCTTTGCCTTATGTGAGTAGCCAAGAGAATGTGTTTTGAGTTTCCCAACACTTTCTGGATACCATATTTAAAATTACACCCCTCCCCCATATTTTAGGAGTACCTGCTCTCCGGTGGATTCCAAGTACCCAGAGTCACATCCAGAAAGTTCTCACTCTGTCCTTAGGAGGAGGAGGAGGATTATTGCTCTATCCTGAAAGAGGGAAACTGAGGCACAGAGATGGACAATGGCCAAACCACATTGCTCGGTGGTGGCTGAGCTGGGCCCTGGAGCCCCACCCCCAACCTACTCACTTCTAGTTTCCTGCTGGGTATAGGCTATGACGGATAGGGTGTTGGGCGGTTCATATATATTTTTTTCCTATAGAAAGAGCATTAGGACTCCAAATCTCATTGACCACAAACCTTTTGGGGAAGAGTTGAGGATGTTATAAGTGGGGAAAACTTTGGTACTTCCGATGTCAGTGGATGCTCTGATGTGTCACCAGAAAGCTGTAGAGCAGTGTTTGCAACGCCGGCTCAACCCAGAATCCTCACCTAAGTGCACATATAGTAATAATA